ATGTGGGCCATTCATGCATACAGTAGGGAATGAGGTGTTGCTTCAACAGTGCCAAATTGTCGTTATTTATAAAAGTAACCACTGAAGAAATAGTGTTAGATTGAACTCTATAGATTGCCACTTTGGAGAGTCAAAACTGGAATATCAGAAATTTCATATCAGTCCACTTAATAGAAAAGACTTAATGTTTCAGAATCAAAATAGCAGAAGAGACTTAATACTTCAGGAATATGAAATAATCTTCAACAATAATAGTGTGTAGTGGCTCTGGGCCATTTTAAATTTTAGATCACTAGGAGTAAGATTTCTGGAGAATAAAGTCTCCTGAATTTTGGATTTAATTGTTACTTTAAAAACAGGCCTCTTTTGTATCAATTGGAGACATAAGTTATGATCCCTTTTTCAGAAAAGTTTTAATTACATTTCGAAGAAAGAAGTCAGCATTCTTTATACCCAATTGCAATCTGTAGTATCTTTCATAAGAACTATTTGACGCAGTGTCTCTATGTAAATCAAAAGGGAGTTAATAAGTATTTATCTCATTCAATATCAGAATCCACAAAAGATTCTGAGCCTCCCTCACTCTGCTCTCAGATCAGATAGTATGAGTCTGTCTTTCTCTTTTCCTTTTACAAGAAGTAAAATCCCAGTGGACAATTCATCATAGCACACATTGATATTTTAAGCCAAAGTTAGAACCAAAACAATGACTATAAAGAAATAATTGAAATACATTTTATTTCACCAAAAGCACTTGACCTTCTAAGGTAACGTTGATAGGAATGGTATGTTGCTGTGTTGAGATCATTGCACCAAGAGTCAGGGTCTTGCCAATATCACCTGCGTGTTTTGTGCCCTTAAGAAAATTAGTCTGTCTGTTTGTACCTCAAGTTTCCTTCCTTAAAAAAATAAATAAATAGAACTTGTCATTTTCCTACCTCCCTGAGAACTTAATCATTTCCCAGACTCACAAGGATTTGTCAGAATTAAATGAGGGTAAATAAAGAAAATCAATGAAAAGGCTTATTATAGTACTTAGAAACACAGTAGGCTCTCACTTAGTCACTTGAATTTAATGAATTTTTAAATTAATTCTTGCAAAGCACTTGAGCCCTCTAAAGAAATGAACTATGAATTAAAAATTATGATAATTTTCAAGAAAAATACAGGTAATAGTAGCAATACAGCACATCAGTTAAGAGGAATTTAAATAAAACTTGAGAGTTGAGATGATGATGTGACAGGTATCACTAACACAGGCACATAAAAACTGTAAAGTTAGAATCATAGAGTTGAAAGGAAAGGACCTTTGAGGGTGTCCAGCACAACCCCTGACACCAAACCAGAGATGTCTTAGCACCTCTGACAGGTAGCCACCAGTTTGTGCCTGGACACAGGCAATGCTCATTGTATTAGGGAAGAGCATTTATAGTTCTCAGTTCTCAAAGAGCCTGTTTATATTCACATGCAAAACAACCAGGGGAAGGATAAACCTATCCCATTACATAATCCTTAAAGTTTCAGAGAGGCACTGATATCTACCAAAGTAAACTAGAAATTAAGGACTTTGATTTTTAGAATCTTAGCTTGATTTTTTCACAGTCATGTTCAAGATTTGAGGCAAAAACAATTTTCCCCATGCATCACCTGCTCAACTTTTTTTTTTTTTTTTTTGTAACCTATATTCTCTTTACTTGACATGGATCCAGGACACTTTCTGTTACCTGTCCAAATCATACATGTCCTCCCTTTCCCAAACTTTCCTGACAGGGATAAAATAAAAGCAGGGGTACGGTGACCAGTATCCATGTGGGAAGGTATTTATCTTTCAGAGTCTCTGAAGACTATAATAAAATAGCAAATTAGGACTGCGTGTGTTAAATATCTACAAATCATACATGTCCTCCCTTTCCCAAACTTTCCTGACAGGGATAAAATAAAAGCAGGGGTATGGTGACCAGTATCCATGTGGGAAGGTATTTATCTTTCAGAGTCTCTGAAGACTATAATAAAATAGCAAATCAGGACTGCGTGTGTTAAATATCTATAACTGGATTTATTTTAAAGAAACTGAAATGTTGTGCACTTCAGTATCCTTAAAGAGCACCCACTTAAAAGTAGACTTTAATCATCAGCATAAGCTGCATTAAAATACTGGTTCATCATGCAGTTTTTTAATCCATGGCCATTTTTCTCCTTTCTCATTTCTCTACACAGTTAATGTCTGCTATGTCAAGCCAGGCCTTTCAGTAGAGGACAGAGGGGAAGCTCATTGATTAGAAAGAATCCATATCAAATATTTTATCTAAAAATCAAATACTTGTGTTTCTCAATCCGGTTTTATCCTTCCAAGTTTACGTGTTTAGATCCAAAATAATTATTCCCCAAATTAGAAGGAAAACAAAGAGCCTATCAGTTCTATCAGGCATTGAAATAACAGCATTTTAATAATAGTCCCAGGAGGCACATAGAAGGAATTCAGGAACTGGATGGCAGGTTAGACTGAATGGCCTTTAGGGACCTTTCCAAAGTTAAGGCTTTATGAGTGTAAGTGAAGTTGACCATGTGGTGTAATAGAAACAAGTGATACAAACTGATGACCTCAAACGTGCATATAGAAGATTCTTGAATGTACAATTCCAGTAAAATTGATAATAAATATACTATTGAGCCACTTTCCAATTGCGTTACCAAAAACAATTTGTTAGTACTAAAACTTATTTCCCACAGCTTACTAGCTGAAAGACAGTGCACTGTATTGTAACAACCCTTTTAAATTTGAATATAAAATGACTTTTAAATGGCAATAAGAAGAAAACTCAAAGTCTAGAGAGTAATAATATGGTAGACACATGTATAATTTCTTAAAGTAGAAAAATGCAAACTACAAATAAATGGCCTCTATCTAACACAAGAGTTAAATGTGGTTAGTAACAGCACGGCATTGAAAGCTAAGAATCTGGTGGTTTAATTTAATGCTAGGAGAAGCATTCATTGTTTGCAGACCAGGTCCCTTTTGATCCTTTTATTTGATATTTAGAGATTCATACATCCATCTTGGGCAATAATAAGATTAAAGTTATACTGCAATATTATTGAGGGCAAAAATCAGTGTTAATTGTGTATTATAGATATTTAATGAATAATATCCTAATCGAAGTAAAAATAAATGCACAAACCTCCCATTAGTACGTTTGATGTACCCAGAGTTTTAGAACTGAGATAACATTAGCAAAAATAATGAATGTGGTTCTTTGCCAAGTGAACTTTTTACTGGGTTATTCATTTATTTCATCCTAGTATTAATGTCAACTTTTTTTTTCTTTCAGGGCATGATTCTCAGTCACCAGACCCAGGTACAAAAAAAATGTTCTGAATAACTGTTACATTTGTTGTGAGTTTTTTGGTCTTTTTTAACATATTCATAGCTACATTATTGACCTCACGTTAAACTTAAATTCCGTATCCTGTTATGCTTATTAAATTAAACTTCTAGTAAGAACACTTAGATTTTGGAAATAAAAATAAATTTTATAAAAAAAAACGTTTAAGTGAACGTAGATATTTTTGTGTCCAATTTGTTTTCCCTTAATAAAAGCTTGGAGATCTTACAATGATCGAAATCAAGACACACTGAACGGAGATGCTACATATTCCTCTCTTGCAGCAAAAGGTTTTAGAAGTGTTCGACCAAACCTACAAGAAAAAAAATCACCAACTCAGGTAATCCTGCACACTCTCGCCTACTGTGTTATTTTAAAGCACAGTTATTAGACCACTGCTGTAGAACCTCTTTCCTAGTTACCTCTTTCCTAGTGTACATATTTTGATACATGTTTTATTTTTAATATGTTTTTGCTATTGTGTTTGTTTTTCTTGCCAGACTTGTATTTACAACATGGAGAACAAGTTTTAAGTTGAAACATTTTTTGTTTTTTATTTTCTGATTAAGCCTGAAAAGTAGGTCAGTTTCTAACCTAGTGTTTAAGATATATTCTAATTCTTAAAAAGCTGACAGCTGATGCTTTGGATTTCAAAGCTACAAGGTCAGCAATACATTATTTATTCAATAAATATGGGTTATGCAACTGTTGATTTTGTTAACTATAATAGAACTGTATAACTATAATGTGGAGGTACTAGTAAAATTATGCCACAAGCATAAAAAGTTTATAAAACAATGTGACTAAATAAACCAATTATATACCTCAAGTTCTAAAAATATGCCAAGAGAACATATGTTCACTTTTAACATAATTTCCTAGAATGTAGATGGAGGCAAACTTTATAATGTAATCTCTTTTAAAAAATGATTTTTCCCCTGCGGACAACTATGGATAAATTTAAATACATTTGAAATGGAATGAAACTTACTATTTAATCTAGCCAGCAACATGTATAGCATAATAAGAAGGTATCCATTGCTTCACCTTCTTTAAGGACAGGCTTGACACAGTTTTCCTTTATGACTAACTTTGACTTTCTCTCTGTTTTTTCTTCAACATTATTTCTTTCTCCGAATGCTTTTTGCAATCCAGGCACCCCTTCCACCAGTCAGAAAAGAGAGTTTTTACAGCTCCTTGATAACAAAACACACGAAGGGTGACATTTCAGAGCAACTAGTAACTAACATACAAATACCTGCCTGTACAGAGTACTTGACTAACGAAAAACCTCTTCAGGGAGCTATGTATTCTAATGATGATTCCAGCCAGATGATTGTATATTCTGAAGAATCTAATACAACTGTGTCGTATACACAAAAAATCACTAACCCACCACCAGCAGCTTCCAGCTCAGGTCCTGCACTATTTGCTGATATCAATACCCCCTTTGTACAAGAGGACTACATGCAAGATTCTCAAACTCGGAGAATTTCTACCTTGAAACTAACTCATAACCAAGATCTAGGTAGTAGCATCCCCTTTAATACTCCACAGTTTTCCAAACCTGTTGAAGTACCATCATATCTCAAAAGGCCTTGCTCACCACCCCCTAACCCAGTGCCTGAGATACACACAGTGTCTCTTTCCATTCAGATAGCTCCCCTTTCAGGACAGGATCCTGAAAGCCACAAACAGATACCTGAGCTTTCTCCAGAGACTACAAAGATACCACTTCAGCAAGAGAGACAAAAATCTGCAGTTGCCGCGGCCTCTCAGTCCTCAGACTGCCGGGTGGTACATTACATTTTCCAGTCTCTTCTTACATGTGTATTGTAGAGACCCTAACTTCTTTGCCTTGGGCTTCTTATATAACTTGCTGCTTTGTTAGTTTCCAAGCAGAAAGGGAAAGGAGAAAGAAACTGTTTTCCAATTTAAAACCCTGGTAAATTCATCAGTATATTTCTAAATATCTTTTAATTTAAATGTGTGTGTGTGTGTGTACACACACACACACACATAGGCTTTTGCAGGGTCACCCAGCCTGGTAAGGAGCAGAGCCAGGATACAAACCTAGGCAGTCTGGCTGCAGAGTTTGTCCTCTGGGCCAGTATGATGACTCTCATTGTGGAAGTAATTACTCACTAGTGATAAGGAAACATGGAGCTGTGGCCCAATGGGAAATGGGATTCAGGACCCCAGGAAGGTCTGCGGGAGCAAAATCAAGCTAATGCTCTACAGATAGGGCTGTGCTAGTGTCAGAGAGCAGACTTACCTGTCCCAGGAGGTGTCCCTCCAGGAAGCAGGAGTAGAAGAAGTCATAGGAACAGATACGAGTATAACTCATTTGACTCATCTAACATAGTTTGGTTCTTCAAAATGGTTTTATTATGTTTGAAGGCATAAATTTTATGACTTTTTCTTTTCCATGGGTTTTGTTACTATCCAGGCTGACCAGAGACAGTTGGTTTAAATACACAATCCCCGGAGTATCAGCATGATCTGGAAGTTAAGATTTGAGATCCTGTCACTTTTATTCATTCAGCAAATATTTATTAGGCACCTACTATATGTCTAATCTGTTCTAGTTACAGAGCTGGATTTGAAACCATTGATACTTAAAATCTTGTGTGTGTATGGGGGAGAACAAAAATTAATAAAAACTTTAATAGGCAAATTACATATGTTAGAAGGAGATTACTCTATGGAAATTAAATTAAGCAGTGCTAAGCAGATGTGGGGAGCAGATGCCGTGTTAAATAGGGTAGTCAAATAGACTCACTGGAAAGATAGAACAGCTTTAGAGGGTGGAAGAATATTCCAGGCAGAGGGAACATCTAGTGTGAAGGATTTAAGACTGAAGCATGTGGGGTTTTTGAGGACCAGAAAGGAAGCCAGTGGGGGAGGACAGTGAGGCATAGAGTCATGGCTGGTGAAGAGTGTGAAGGATTTAAGACTGAAGCATGTGGGGTTTTTGAGGACCAGAAAGGAAGCCAGTGGAGTAGGACAGTGAGGCATAGAGTCATGGCTGGTGAAGTTGGAGGTAACAGAGGCCAGATGACAGAAGTCCGTGTAAGCCGTTGCAAGGATTCTAACTTTTACTCTCAATAAAATGGGAGTCATCAGAGGATTTTGAGGCTACCACTACTATTATTTACTTATGTTCTAACCAAATCATTCTGGTAGCTCAGTTGAGAACAAACTATAGTGGGGCAAGGAGGAGAGCAGGCAAACCAGTCAGGTAGCTGTTGCAAAAATTTAGGTGAGAAATGATGGTGGCTCAAAGCAGGGCAGAAACAATGGACGTGGTGAGAATCAGACTGTGCTATAATACATAGTGAGTGTGGAGCAAACAAGATTTCCTGGCAGATTGCAAGTGAGATGTGAGGGAAAGAGAAGAGTCAAGGTTGACTCCAACTGGGAGGCTGGAATTGCCATCAACTGAGACTGGACAGCTGGGGGAGGAGCAGGTTTGAGGAGGTTCCCCTGGGAACATGATAACGTTTAAGGTGTCTATGAGACATTCACATGCAGAAGTCACATGTGCAGGTAGATATGAGTCTAGAGTTCAGAAGAAAGGTCCAGGAGGCTGGAGATACAGTATAAGCCATCATCAAAAACCATCAGATGGTTTTTGCAGCTATGAGACTGAGTGAGATCACCAGGGAGTGAGTATAGAGAAAGAGGAATCCCAACAATGGAGCCCAAGTGCACCCCAACATTAGGAGGAAGAACGAGCAAAGGAGACTGAAAGCAGCGTCCTCTAAGGAAGGAGGAAATCCAGGAAAAGGTGGAGTCCTAAAAGCCTTGTGAGGAAAATGTATGGAGAAGAAGGGATGTTTAACTGCATGAATGCTGCTGACAGGGCAAGTGGAAGATGAGATCTGAAGACTTACCATTGACCTAATGGGGAAGGGGACTTTCTTGAAGTGGGTTTAAGAGAAACTTGGAGGAGAGCAGTTGGGTAGTCAGCTCTTTCCAGGTGTTATTTACATGAGACCATTCATCTAGTTATTCACCCTCCCTGAGCCTCGGTTCCTTCATCTGTAAAATGTGGATAATAATAACATTCATCTCACAGAGCTGCTGCAAAGTTTGAATAAGATAATGCATATAAGAAGCTTAGCTCATTCTTTCTTTCCTTCCATCTCTCTTAGCACCCACTATGAGTGAGGACATGGAAAATAACATCATTTTTCCAAATCATGCATCTGATTGAGAGAAGGAAATGTATTTTCAGCAATACTTCATTTTTTTAACTGGTGGATAAAAGTTCATATCATTAGACTAGCAGTTTATTCCAAGACAGACAGCATGTCGTCTTATAATGCTTTGTCAAAAGGTGGCATAAAGCTGTTGCAGTTTTAATTGTCTTTTTTTTTTTTTTTTGGTAAGAACATTTAACATGAGATCTACCTTCTAAACAAATTTTTAAGTGTACAATACAGTGTTGTAAACTTTAGGCACAATATTACACAGCAGATCTGTAGAACATATTCATTTTGGTTAATTGAAACTATATACCCATTGAATAGCAACTCCCCAATCCTTTCTTCCATCAGCCGCTGGCAACCACCACTATACTCTCTGCTTCTAGGAGTTTGACTATTTTAGGTACCACATCTAAGTGGAATCATGCAGTATTTGTCCTTCTGTGACTGGCTTTTTCACTTAGCACAATGTCCTCTAGGTTCCCCCATGTCATAGCATATGGTAGGATTTCCTTCCTTTTTAGGGCTGAATAATATTCTATTGTATGTATACACTGAATTTTCTTTATCCATTTATGCATTGATGGACATTTAGCTTTCACATCTTGACTACTGTGATACACTTCAAGTCTCATTTTCCATGTAATGATCTGTCACATGTTAACCTTTCTATTTTTGATACTTACATTCCACATTCCAGCAAGTCTGAGTAAATGCCAAGCACTGTCAGCTACACATAGTGTGGTTCAGCCAAATATATGCCCCATTATAAAGAATTGGTCTCCTGAGAGATTAGTAAACCCAAGAAATTAAAATACTCTAAGAAGTGAAAAATAAATTTTAGTGTTCTGGAAGTTTACATATTTTTGTGGTTATTATTAAAGTCTGACCATTAGTTTAAGAAGAAAACTACAGGCCACTGTTAGAAATTCTCTTTATATTTGATGATTTTACATATTGTTTTACAAACTGTATATGTTTTAATTTACCTTCTAAAAATAGACCACAAAATGAGGTATATTATTCCCTCTGTTACTGTGTGAACAGATATCCTGTTACTAAAAACATCACATTGTTCTCAATGTCAGATAAATGAAGGTATAAGCCAGACCCTTTGGAAAGACAGCAA